AGAAAGAGAGAGAAGCGCTTATACGATTGCGTAATTATTTTATTCGTCTGTCAAGAAACGCATATGAGTACACGCCGTGTAGTTCACGCCATGTAGTTCAGCGAAAAGAAATAATCGTGCGAGAATTTTCCTTTTTCGTTATCGTCGCACGACGCGTGAACTATTACTTTTCATTGATTTCGCGTATTTGAGATATTACCCGTTTGTTACGCGTCGCGACTCGTCGTTTTTTTTCTCTTTTTTTATTTATTTTCTTTTTGTATCGAAAAGATGCAGGCGCGTTTGATTTATTTCTTCACACTGCACAGCAACCGGAATTTTCGCGCTCTGAGATAAACTAGTAACACCATACGAATGCGTATCGATCCGCCTCCCGCTACAATGCATAAAAAGGTACGTCGTTGCAGTCTGTCTCATGCATCATACGCGTCCCTGCAGCTTTAGATGTCGATACGTTTTCATGTCTCGTTTCGAATCCTTCTATTCATTCGAGAACGGATGGAAATGTAGAAGCAAGTCGCATCGCCATTTCGTTTTCTGAGTTTTTATTCGATATAGGGTGTTCGTCGAAATATATAAGCGTCAGCGGCGAGATGTCATTTCGCGACGAATTTTCTGGACGATTCTGTGTGTTTGACGAAGTAATCGCGGAATTATTTTGATACTGAGAACGAACGGTTCAAGATCTGACTTTTCACTCTTACTTTTTCTTCGTGAATTTTAACAAAACTTCAATTTGAAGACTTAATTCCCGAAATATTTCAAAGTGTTGACAATTAGTTGGAAACTGTTTTATTAAGATTCATTTCCTCCGGAACGAATAGTGTATCATTAATTATTATATATAATAATTATGTTATATATATATATAACATTATGTACATATTATGTTATATATATATATATATATATATATATATATATTATTATATATATTAATTATTATATATAATATATAATTAAAATATTATATTATATATTATTATTATATATATTATTATATTATATATAATTATATTTAATTATTATATAAAATAATATACAATAATAGTGTATCATTATTATTATTGTATCATTATTATTAATCTTACAATATGTCCTATAATTTTGTGACAATGTTAGAAAATAAGAAGCAAAAAATGACGATATCCGATCAAGGTTCTCTCGAGGGGTTGATTTGAAATTCATGAAAGAAACATTCATGAGCTTATTATCGCTTCTCTTATTTTGGTAAATGATTCATGTATTACTAGCAACGTTCGCGGAACATTAGGCGGTGTAACATATAGCTGTTCACCTTATTGATTGCACGACCGGCCGGTAATCTTGTTATTATGTAATAAATGAACTACGAAACATTTCCATTAACATGGATGGATAAATGGGACGTGTTGGCTGATAAGCTTTCCGTGTTCGGTTTCATAGCTTCCCGATGATTCGGCCCATCGAATGAGGAAGAGCCTCCCAGGCGAGAGTGGGCAATCAGCTTATTTGAAGCTTACCGCGTGGAATTCCTCTTTGTTCCGATATCACGGTCTGGGAATAAGACCCAAGGGGTCTTAATGTTCTCTTCTTCCTCTCTCTCTCTCTCTCTCTCTCTCTCTCTCTCTCTCTCTCTCTTTTACTTTTCTTTTATCATCCTCTCATACTCCGCGACTTAAATAAAGTATAGATTCGCCGCTGTTGTAAAAATCAAATTTTCCGCTCGCCATGTTACGTGCGCGGGAGCGAAATATCTCAAAATATAATTCAGTCGCATTATCGCTCGCGACGTCGCAATTCCTTTTGATCTCTGCAAATTGCAGCGCTGCAATACGTCGGAAGATGTCATTAAGTATTAAAAAAAAAAAATAGTAGACGGCAGAAAGAGGAGCGATGTTCGACCTGCGTCCCTAATAGGATGTTAATTGTAGCTCTCAAACGCGCAACGTTCTTGTGTAAAGTACCTTTGTGATATTTTCTCGGTGCTCGGCGCACAGTATTACGTGATTCTCTTCCATAATGAAATTAAGTGCCCGTCTTCGAGATAGGAGAACGTCGATCATAAGACAGTTCTATTTCCTCCTACTTTTTCCCTGCAGACACGCAAATTGCCCTTCTTGTCGAGTCTTCGTAAATTCTTCGCAATATTTACGGAACGGCTTCCCATGGGTAAAAGTTACGTCGGACACAGGAGGGGAAGGGAGGACGGTCGGCTTGCCGGAGTGATGAGATTTCTCGCATTATGAGTACCGCGCGCGATATAGGCTTACTGGGTCTAAAAGTCAAACGGGTCAGTTGTTACGTAATAAATGAAGGAGCATATTCTTTTAGTACAGGTTGCTTGTATCATGTTAGTTGAATGTACTTATGGTTTATGACTTATAACAGAAACATCGCATGCGACATTTACTAGCACTTTTCCGAAATTAGACGCGATGAGTCAATTTTTTTTTGTCTCTAGTTTCACACAGAGAGAATATTGTAGTAAAAATTACAGTACAATTTCAGCAGTCTGGGAATAAACTGGCACTATTACGGAAATTATAATAAAACATAGTAAAAATGACCATAGTAAACATGATAATTTTTACTACATTTATGGTAATTTTACGTTTATGATCACATTTACTATGTTTTAAGTCAATATGTAAAAAATGTGACAACTAGATCCGGGTTCCTCTATATGCATATAAGTGTCAGACAACAAGGAAACATTATCTCCGCTCCCGTGAGAGTCGATCTTACGTCGCGCATAATGCGAAGTCTGTCTATATTGTGCGCGCAATTAAATATCTTCATCCGGTGCGACGCAGTTCGGCATTGTTCGATAAACAAGCTCGGAAGCATTAAGAAACTTCGGGAATTACGTGCCTCATTTACCGTGATTATCCTTAAAAGTTACATGTCTGGCGTCGACCGACTCATTTGCGCGATTGCACTTATCATGCGAAGAAGCGGAGCGCGTTTCATGAAGCGTAATGCGAGGCGCTCGCGAACTCTTTAGAAATCGGCTAAATGATGTGACGAGGAAAGTGCATTTTTGTCCCTCCCTCTCCTCCTTTCTTCCATAATATTCATACTGGAGGTGATGTTGCTTTACAGAGCATTGCGAATAACGTACGTTCCAGTCTCGCGGAAGAGCTCCTGGAATTTTAGGCGCGCTGAGAAAAATCTCTCGGTGATCTGAGCAAAAACACGTTTACTATTTGATGATCGTTGGAGAAACAGATCGAACAGTTACTGTTGCAAATCATTTCTCGTCATTTGTCATTTTAACAAATATGTATTACCCTTATAATCTACTTTCACTATCTTCTTAATTTTCATCTAACCTGTAGCCTAACACTATCAAGATCTTCTTTCTATTTACCATGTCTAATTGTCCTTTCACTCACAACAGGTACCATATCATCTTCATACGCAATATTTCAAATACTGTTCTTCAATTGGATACATCTTTATTCCATATTTTGTAATATTTTTCTTTACACTTCATCTTTCTTACTTGCACAGCACCTGTCCTATCAGTCCTTATGTCATTCTTCTTCCGCATATCTTTATTTTGCTTTCTTATCTCATTCGATGACCAAATCTTTCCTCTTTTTTTTCTATCCCTTGTACATAATTCTGTCTTCTATTACTACCTATTACATCATTACTACCTATTTTCTCATTTAAATGAGTTTACCCTGTTTGACCTCATACTAAATTCAATATACTAATCCATTCAAAACTCATGTACTACGTCAATCAAACATCCACACACTTGCACACTATCTAACCAGATTTTTGTTGCTAGTATCGTGTTAAATTAGCAAAACTTTTTCTCCCAGTGTGTCCAAAGTGGCGCACTTTCGCGTCAGATACGCGAAAGATCCCCGACAAATTGCGGGACCACGTAGCTCCTCACGTAGCCCCGAGTATCTCCCTTTCGTCGCACACGATCACACGTCGGATTCGCGGGGAGAAATGGTCGCCTGATATAAATTCACGTTACACCCTCGGAAATTACGAGAGCGATATCAGGTCGAGGAAGCGTTGCCAGGTCGTCCTCTCCGCGGGGCACTTTGTCTCGTTAACGTGGCCAAGGATGAACTGCTAAGCGCAACACAATTCCGTGGCGAATCTCGTGAGGACTTCGGCGTCGATCCCTGACTGTTCAACTTACCCGCAATCGGCCCGCATTTTCATCGGCCACGTTATGAGACAGCCGTGCTGGGACTTGTTAGGTCGAAAAAAGGTCTCTCTCCGACTCCCTAGCGCGTCGCCAGCGGCCGTTCTGACGGCCTCTCTGACGAGGGCGCGCGAAAATACCCGCGCTAGACGTCGGATTATCCGGTCGGCCTGATTACGCGATGTCCCTTCGGATGCTTCGTACGTTCGACTAGGGCTGACCCTTGTGCCGTTGTCGAATAAGAGAGAACCCCATGAAATAAAATATGATTCTCCGTTATTCTCGAAGCGGAACTCAAGAAGCACCAAGTGCTTTCGACATTCGCGACTTGCCGTATTCCCATAACGTGATGTTGTCTCTGCAGCTGACCGCAATAGATAATTATACTTGGATAAATATTTAGAGCGTCTCTCGGATGGAAAAATCAATATGAAACAGCTCGACGCTTTTCAGGCTTGCGATAAATAGAAATTCAAGTTTAAAACGTTTGCTGTCGTTTGGGTCACCGGTGGTTCGCGCTGAACTATCGGTTTTGGCCGTTCGACATTTCGACATTAAAGCAAAACAATCGTGAAATACTCTTATGAGACACGTGTGTATTTAACAAATACACAGCAGGAGAGAGAGACAATGTGGATCACCGGTGAGCTACACGACGTAGATGGCGGGTTACATGCAGCCAGTTCAGAATTTCAATGTAACGTGTCGAGAAAGTTATCGAAACATACTGTTTTTACTGTACACACTTCATCGTGACATACTGCATAATTTCCTCTCGCGATTGTCGCGAATCGAGATTTCACTGGCGCTTTATGAAGAACCTATTGTCGCTTTTGTGTTGCAGCTCAACGGTTGAACGAGTACATCCGCCACTACGAATCTCTGTCGTACCCCGTCGAGGACGTCCATCGAAGTCACGTAAGGGCGAAAAGGTCGATCAGCCGCGACAGCGCCGTGACTGTGAAGTTCCGTGCGCACAACAAGAACTTCCACATCCGATTAAAGCGGGACCTCGCCACTTTTAGCAACAACCTAATCGTAGACGGGCCCACGGGAGAGAGACAGGATTCCGACATCTCCCATATTTACAAGGGCAATCTAATCGGTACGTCCACGACAGTACAGACATTCGCAGCGATGTTATTTTATTTACACAGCGTTCTCTTTCGAGCAATCGTAACGCGCGCTCTTCTCCGAATTTCAATTGTTAGAGAACACGCGCGGCTGGATCCACCTGTGTTTTTTCTCTCAAGGGTGGATTCGTATGACGAAAGAACGGCTGCTCTCGAAATTTCGCGATGTTTTAAATTCAAATTGGGAAATGACATTAATATTTCATATTACTTCATATTAATGTCGAATATCTATGACAACGAGTATCGTAGAATTGCAAGATTCCATTCTATTGTTTAATTACGAAGATGTACATTATACATTACGTATATATTTAACACATACGTACATACAGACACACACACGCACGCGCGCGCGCGTTAGTATAATCCATCTGTGAAGCAGAGCTTGCAGAGAGAAGTGAAATTATAAATATTATAACAGTAATTATAAAGGATATATTTCAACAGAACGCGTTTCATTCAATACAGTTTTAATGAGACAGAATTAAAGTTGACCGCCCGCAGTTCTTCCACCGCGCTGTTTGCCCGATAAACTTGAAAATACAACGTTTTCGTTCGATACACAGAGAAGAGGGTTTTTTTTGTATCTGGTATACCTATTTGTTCCCGATTTGTTCGACCCGACAAAATAATTTTATATGAAGCAGCATAATTTTATATAAAATATTATACACACACATACATACACATTTTGTTTTATTAGATTAATTTCGCTTATTTGCACGATTCTCCATTCGGCAACTCCGCGATTGTAATGTTTCCCAACGCGAGTTTTTCCGCGGCCACCTTCGCAACATCTGCCGTTACGCGAAAGTGCGGCTGCTCCAAGATACTCGATATACATACACGCTATAGCTAGAGAGGTCTACGACTCGAATATTATATCTCGCATCGATGCACTTCTCCCAATATAGAGCCATGGTATTATGACATCGAGTCTGCAATCTTCTTGGTGGCCCATATATTCGCACGAGCGACACTCGGCATGTAAAGTTACACGGAATCGATCGGCAGCTCGATCGCTCGAACTTCTCCGCTCATATGACAGGCACACGTAACTGCCGACATTAAATCGAACGTGCTTCTCTCTCTGTCTCTACCCCTCTCTCTATTTCTTTCTTTCTCTTTCCCTCTGTCTATGTTTATATACGTGCAGTTAGTTGCACTCACTTCCAGGGACGCATTTATCGCGAAAAGAAATGATAACGGCGCGCCATTGTTCTCGCAAAACGACAGGTAAGTAACGCGAAAACGGGGTGAAAAGTTCAAAGCTGAAGTTGCAGAACGCTGGTATCCTAATTCACATAAAACCGCTCCGTTCTTGACACTCAATCGTTCGCTTGAATCCCACAAGTGCAGCAACGTTAATAATTAACATTAATATCACATTTTTCGACCGACCACAACACTAGACGCCGACACGTTAGGCAATATTGTTTCCAATTAACGCCAGACAAAACGTGTCGCAGCAAGATCTTAATTCGGCCAGCTCGGCTACTGAAACGTCTATTATTTAAGTTATAACGAAACATCCGGCATATAATGAAATCTTCCCTCCGAAGTAAGGCCGTCTTCAAATTCGTCGTGCGATACGCCGCTGAAGTTTAATGTTAACCTTATGAAATAGCCTGTTTGCATATACCCCAAAGAACTTTCATCAAAATAAATTTAATAGAAGGAGTGAGAGAGAGAAGTGCTCTGGCTCCTCCTGCTTTCTTTCTTTCTTTTCATTTCTACAGTAATTTCTTTAATTAAAATATTTATTTTTTATGAGCAAACGTAAATTGTATGTATGTAATGCGTCTTATAATGTATATTTTTCAACAGCTATATATTCATTACCATATTACAACTATATTCGTGTTCTTAGGAGACTGTCCTAGAACGATAAGTGAACGCTCAATCAATCAATCAATCAATCGAATCAATCAATCAATCAATTGATCGAATGTGCGCGCGCGGACACACACATACACAAGCCAAGAGCTATATTTAAATATATAACCGTGGCTTTCTCTCACCATCTGACACCCGAGCGACGCTCGCTTGGTGCACATTCTGGTTACATTCTGCAGCTTGGCCTCCACGAGGCGGTACCGTTTCTTCGTGTAGTACCGCTTCCGCGACGTTCCCCGATAGCCAGGTGTGGCACGCAAAAGTGCGTGTCAGCGTAGATACCGGGTGGAACCTTTATTTCCAGTCTAATAATTTACGGGAGTCCGGCGTGCGAGGGGCGACAGTTTAAATTATGGATCAGGGCGACGAGGTGCCGGGGAACAGTTTATCTCTCGCTCGTGCACTCGTGCGACCTTTCGCGACCCGGTTACAGCCGCGCTCTCCTCACCGGATAAAACATCACGAGAAGGCTCCGACTATGCTTCAGTTTACGGATCAAAAGGAATTCCGAAAATCGTGGGCTTAGCCGTGCAAGCGCTCCGCTATTCTTGCCAAAGTTAACGGACTAGGCCGCACTTGTCGAGTCCACGGGCGACTTTATAATACCGGTCGGAAGGGATTATTTCTACATGCAGACATACCTTACGTTCCAATTTTTTAGAAACAGGGGGAGGGAATGGGGAAGGAATATATGGATCCACGTATTCGCGATATAACTGAAATTTTCAACGTGTTGCTTCTCTAAAACTTGCTAATGAATTGAAATTGTATCAGAAAATTTTCTTTTATTTATTACACACATATATACATAAAACTCCGTTAGCGTGGCAGAAAAAAATGTGTTAGTAAGGGAAGAATACTGAACAAATTATCAGGCCGTCAGATGCACACAATCAAGCTTAGATTAGGAAATTTTCTGAGTTTGATTTTCATCAGGAAGTTTTCTGACTTAAGTTTGATTGCGCAGTTGAGGACTTGATAATTTATTCAGTATTTTTTCTTTGCTAGTAAATTTTCTCCCGTTATACCAATGGAATTCTACGTGCGTGTATATGTGTGTTATGTAATAACACTGTCAGACACATAACACTGTTTATCCGGGGCGCTTGTGAAGTGGTCAATAATTAAAAAAAGAAACAATGTCAAAATACCACCAGTTGGAAATTGCAAGGAAGGAGTAACGCTGAAAACCGGCTGCGTGGTTTTAATTTCGAGAGCGCCGACGCTTTGTTCTCGCGTCAAAAGGAATTTTGAATTGTGATAAGCTTAACTGCGCGGATGACTTCGCTTTCCTGCGATCTATTATCTAGAGAGGAAAAAGGTTATGTCCCGGGAACGCTCGCTGAATATTCTCTCTTATTGTCGTTTACCCACGTATCTGCAATACGCTCAGGTTTCATCCCGCGCTTTTAATGATTCAATATTTTCCTTTCACGTCCGGCGCATTGGTCGAAAACGTGTCGCAAAATATTTTCCATGCATAACGCGCGACAGAGAAACGATTTCAGCGTTACCTTTACTGCCAAATCTGTATTTCCGTCGACAAACGCGGTTTCTTTACACAGGCGAATATAAAATATTCGTTGTGCATACGCGTTTCGTTCTCGAATCGAATAATATAGCTGCAGAATCTGAATTCGAGGATCTCGCGAGACCCGGATCTCAAATGGTAGGAGAGATGCGTCCCGCTCATTCATTCATTCATTCATTCATCTTCTTCATTATATTGTCGTCTTTGATATATGAAATAGGTCTCGCGATGTCGCGCGCTTCTCTTATTGTGGTAGACAAAGATTCTCGACGATATCAAGGACCATTCTTTTCAACTACCAGAGGATAAATTGAAAAGAATAGTCCTCGTCTCAAAAGGACAGGTATCAAGTTATAAGATATAGATTCTCGGACATTAAGGGATTTCGCCAAAAAATTGATATATTGAGCTTTCTGAAGCTTTCTCAAGCTCTATCTATAATTCACACTTGTACACACACACGCGCGCGCGCACATATAATTTGTTCAATTCTCCCTGATTTTTCATTATCGTGAAAAGATAGAAAATATATACATTATAACTTCGTTCGCGCTATACGTGCGTCTCTCAGCTAGACGAGTGAATCGAGACAGTGAGACGAGTGCACGTTGCTGCGTAAGCCAGCAATTTCAAGCGCAAAAAGTTTCGTTGGGTGACGAAGTTTCCACTACCGTCGATACTTTTTCGAGCGAGGCAACTTCGTAGCCGTTCGCACGAACATGGTTTCGTACTCGCGCGCGCATCTCCACCTGAGTGTTTATGTTACTTCCATGACGTTCTCCTTATTTCTAGGAGTAGAGGAGGAGCATGGGAAAACAAATAAAGAAATAAAAAATTAAAGAAAGTTGCCGTAATTTTAGTATAGTAGCGTTGCTTTTCAAGAAACGACTAACGTAACGATCATTTGTATAATTATATCGTGCAAGAAAAGATAGAGTTTGGATTATTGTGTGTGCGCGGACGATATGGATTAAGAGAAATAGGGAGGCGTAATTAAACACGACCTCCTACTTATTTAAAACTTAAAAACTACCTAAAAATAAGCTATTGTTAATTTCATCAAATTCGTTGCATTTAGGAATTACAATGGCAATTTTTTCGAGAGAATTTCACCGAGATCCTCACGTCTGATCGTGAATATATTTTCTGCTTCCAGGCGAGCCTGATAGTTACGTGTTCGGAAGTGTCAGTGATGGAGTCTTCCACGGGAAGATAATATCACCGAAAAGCGGTGCGTGGTACGTGGAAAGAGCGCATTACTACTTTCCGCCGCACGAGGTAAACGAGACGCTGCACTCTGTGATCTATCATGAGAATGACGTCGGCGATCCGTACGCAGACGTTCGACAAGGTAAGGCGCGCAGAAGAAATAGAAGAACAAGATTCGTTCTTTCGGTTTCATCGATATTAGTTCTCGAGACATACAGGCACATACATGGCATTTTCAGCAAGTCCACTGCGCGAGCGTAACATGTTCGGCGGGGGAATGACCTTTACCTTCAGGCCATCTATTACAAAGTTTCGATATCGCAACATCCGATGTTATCGACCGTTATTCTTCCAGTTCTGCGGTGTGTTTCGCGTTATCTATAATATATACACCGTGGTTATGAAATAAATTTTGTTCCGATGAAGTTGAACGAAAACTTATTAAATATACAACAGAAAAAAGAATTCACTGTGCACTGTGTTCCTCAAACTCTGTGTTTAATTTGCGTGAAAGAACGTGGACTGAATGTATTCGTTAATTTTACACTCGGCGATGTTTCTTTATACTTCTACCTACAAAAGAAATGCATACTGCATTCAGGTAAATGTTACTTGTTTCAAGTATTTCGTAGGTTTGTGTATCCGCAAATCTATCGTAAGTTCATCATAAACATCAAATTTATTCAAGTAAATTCTAAATTCTGATAAGTTTAGCATTTGAAGAATATTGAATTAAAACAAGAGTTTTGCTTACTACATAGGATCGAGTCAGCTTATTCTTGTATAAAATTTCCTAACATTTTTGCAAAGGAAGTAAATTTTTCTTTTAAGTACATATGATACTGAGCTTCTCTCAAATTTGTCACGAATATGTTTTGAGATGCTATTTCTGTTATCGAGATAATATTCTCAGTTGAAGACAATTATCTTTCAAAAGAAGAAAAGTAAACAGAATAATTTTCTTGGGGAAAAGTGGAATATTTTTCTCTGTATATTCATGAACGATGTATATACGAATGGTAGCATAAAATGCACATCGGACTTGGGGAACAGTTGTTCGACATCCGACCGAAACAAAGCAGCAGCTGCGTAACGACTCGGAACAAAATCGCGAGTCTCATTATGCAAAAGAAGAAATACCATGTGACGTGTATTCGCGGAAAATGAATAAATTTAGATCGGTAAAGGCAACGATTTATTTAACTACCGGTTACGTTAATAATTGTAACGTTCGTCGTGCATGGGAGCTTTGCTAATTATAAGGCGGCCATGGGCTCGAGAACGATCCGGACGATCGTCTGGATAGGTTGTTCAATGATGGCGACCTCGAAGCCGGCGCCTCACGATATCACGCCTCACTTTGTCACGCGATGCGCCACATCTCTCGTTCTCTTCTCGGATTCTACCTCGATCTCTCCGATGGTCATTCTTGAAAATGCGTCTGCTTGCGCATCAATTTCTGCGATATCAGGTTGGTCAAAAGTAACCAACGAGGAAGATTTTACGGAGAGGATTGCTGTTGCATCAATTTGCACCCGGCTTTCTCGTTGCATATACGCATCGTTCTTTGTATTAATTTCTACATTTCTAGTATTTGAGACACGCAAAACTTACTCTTCTAAACTTTAGAGTTCTTGCATTGAGAAGAAAATGTTTGGTATTTGTAACTATAATCACATAAAGAAATAACTATTATAAATTATGGTCAAGAAAACTATTTCTTTGTTGAGTTCTACTATAATGTTAGCGACAATAACCTCATATGTGTGTTACTGCTATCATTACTATGTTCGAACAACTAAAAAATATAATTGGGGCCAAAAATAACTATAATTTTATTAGATCAACTATTATTTCTCTTAAACTGTGGGTTACGTAAAAAATCTCTGGAAGTCCTCGGCACGGATTTATCCAGAAAATTAGATTGGTCGAGGGAAATTGTCCCCCCACTTTCTAGCACTTTCGATATTTAAGCTCCGAATCAAAATTTCCATTAAAGTAAACTTTCCTCACATGGAATTCTTTTACGTTATCTGCCGCCATCTTTCGGTAAGTTTAATTCCTCAGCTGTTTATAATCGAGCGAAACTTCCCCTAGGACAGAATTAATTTCAAACTTGTCAGAGGATTAGCCATTGAAACGAAAGTGCTCGACTCCTGATACTGTCCCGTGTATGCGCTATCAAGGAATATAGCGACCGGCGTAGGGAGATTGCATCGTTTAAGCAGTGGGAAGGGAAGGAGGGGGATATAGATATCGGAAAGTCCGTACGAATTCTACGCGCCATTTACGGTATCGTTAGGGAAGTAAGTAGTCCATTCGCGTACGTGCGGGCGGAGAGCGGCGCAGTCTCATCCTGGATCTGCTTGCAGTCAGCGCGACGACTGCGCGGATTTCGCGATTCGCGCCGTTGTTGCGTTTATAGCGCAGCAGCATAAATGCTGCCAACCTGGTTGAAATAAACAGGCAAGCATATCGCGTGTAATATTTATCGCTCCTCCCCCTTTCCCCCGGCCGCCGCTTCGCGCCTCTTCCGTGCACACTGCATGGATCAAATCGCGTCATCTCGCAGTGTTTGCGCTCCCCGGAAATACGTCCGGCGTTATGAGTTTGCTGCATTTATTGGAGCGCTACACGGGGCATGATGATACGCGGAAGAGCAGAAGCGGGTGGAATGGAGTGTACTTCGTGTTCCAGGACTAAATCCTTCTGGCAACTCCGTATCCGATGCGCTATTAGACATGATGGGTGGTATTAAAGGATGACGAGGGATGTCGGGAGAACGTGCTCAAAATAAGAAAACAACTATCGTTTGTGAGCATTAGTAGAGTCTAGACTAGCAAACTTTTTCAGTACGCAGATAGAACTGATCTTCTTGTAACCTACACGGAGGAAATATTATAGTCCTGCTCCACATATCAATTCTTCTCGGTTTTACTTTGTTTTTAGTAGCTCAGAAATAGACTGGCAGTCTATTCTTGTCAAGGAACATAGTATATTTTGCTAGAAACATAACAGATTTTGATAGAAATATTGCAATTGTTTTATAGCACATTTCAGTTATTAAAATACACGTATGAAATAAAAGGGCAATGACTATTATTAATTACTATCGGTAATTACTATCAGTAATTACTGTCGACAATGTCGATCTATTCCTCGGTTCCCTAAGAAATCCTAGAGTAATTTTTATTATAAAGTTCTTTCCGTGTATATATAGGCTCGAGAGTCTCAGACTCTCAAGTTCTTAGAACCGTATCAATAGTCGTTACTTGAAGTTTGTTTCACATAAGACACTCAGATTTTTACTCAGAATTAGTTATTTGTAACATTATATCTGTAATCGCGGTTCAACTGAAGAACTCTTATCTAACTGAACTCTGAATATAAATTGTTTTTGATACCTGAAATTTTTACGAATTGTCACAGACATTTTTAACTGACAGTCCTAACGATAACGGAAATGGCACAGGACAAGAAAAATGTTTGACGCTACTCCTTTCGTTTCTTTCCTTCTTACCTGGAATGGTAATCCCTGTTAACGCTAGTACATAGACAAGATTAATAAACAAAACACTAGCATAGACAACAGGCAATGCTGTCACTCTTGGAACGTTGAGTCATTAAAGCTCACAATTAATAAAGCTACCGATGGCGGCCACGATTATTTCACTTGTATCAGCAGCGGCGTTATTGATTCGTACTTGTGCGAAACTACTTCTTTGTCGGAGGAAGAAACAGGAGAGTATCTATACACGGAGAGAATTTTATAATAAATTACTTTAAAATTTTGTAATCGAGAAATGGATCATTGTTCTGCAGTAATTTGTTATTCTTTCATTTCACATGTACTATTAAAAAATTCACTGTGTTCCTACTCTGAGAGAATATATCTGAAAAGTAAAAGGTATTTAATCGGTGAATATTAATAACGTATTAAATTAAAATTTTGTATTTAAATAGAGTACACAATTATTTTCATGAAAAGCTAAGATTTTAACAAAATATATATTTTCTTGTTAGGAAAATATTATATATTCGTGTGAGTAAATGTGTTATTAGTACTACCTGATTAATATTTTTTTATTTCTTAATTTTTCTTATTTCATCTTATTTTGTTCTCATAGTGTAGCGAAATTTGCTGTTTCTAACGAAATTTTACTATGCTTCCTAACAAAATAAACCTTATTTATATCCCTGCACTACTAGCGACATAGTAAAATTGAAAAGAATTTTTATGAAGAAGGAAACTAATATTTTCTTTCCGTGCACTACAGCGAGACACTACGTTCATCTCAGTTCGTTAACGTCACTGTACGCCGCTTATGAACTGAAAACTGTATAAGACGGTACTCTTCTCTTGATGAAACGTCCCAGTTCTGAGACTGCAAAAGAAACCGACGACTTCGTGTGTGTAGTGTAACATAGTGTTTACCGCGAAAATGAGAGCTTAGATATCGCCTGCGCCGGCTACGATCGAGGTTTTACAAAATTGTCGGGTGATAAGGAAGATCGGTATAAAGAAGAGCGAAAATACAAGGAAAAAGGCATCGTGTGCAGTGAAGCATGTCGTTTTTCTTAGACTCTAAAAGTAGCAAGACAGAACATAGTAACAATCACAAAAAGCTTCTACGAATGCGTTTACCTCTCGCGTATCGAACGTTGAAGATGTTTCCACTTTGGAATCGCTGATCCGATAATGGCGAGTTGCGCTCTCTCTCTCTCTCTCTCTCTCTCTCTCTCTCTCTCTCTCTCTCCGATGAGACAAAGAGCAGAGTTCTCGCAGGCACACGTAGACGCTACCACGTATAACGGCCGTCGTTGTGACCCGCGATACGACACCCAAGGGATCGCGACAAGGTCGCCATTAGTCGTCACATTATGCCCCATGTATTCGCTTTACGCAGATAGCTCGAGCGTATTGCGGAATTGCGCCGATGATTAAGCCGCGCGCTTCTGTCTCGGTGACAACGGCTCGGGATGCAGATTGCGTGCTACGTGACTTGGCTTCCGCGTCATTATTATTCGGTCTATACCTGAGCCATCTACCTCGCGAATCTTAAGGTAGTAGACCACGGCCTACGGGAGAGTTCGACGCGCAGCGTATTTCGACCCCATCGATGATGCAAGGCTCCCACGTGGCTCGTGAATGTTTCGAGTTCCACCGCCAGATTCAGTATTAATGGCAATGAACTTCGTCATTAATTAGGAACCTCGCGCTGTTCTCTCGGAATGGTTACGACTCACGCTCCCAGATTTTCCTGTAACGCGCGCTTCAGAAAGCCGAAGCGTCTGTAGCAGTCTATTATTCCGCACAGCTCTCTGTCTAGGATCATTTTGACCGTAATGAATAAACAGCACTGTAACTTGTAGCAACTCACGCGCATGTTGTACATAAGGTACATAGGTACATAAGGTACATATAATAGGGTGTAACGGTTGAGTGAATTTCTTAACTCTCTCATTCGTAGGTGGATTCAAACGTATCTTTAGGATGAGGACATTCTTGGAATTACTTCTTAGCGCTTATTTATGGTCTGATAAAGTCGTGTACTTCGGCTGTAAATCCAACATTAAATCGACGGTGAATTTTTCAGGTGATTCCGGTGGGTGTGGCATCACCGATGAAGTGACAGAATGGATGGAGAAGATCCAAAATTCTGCTGAACCAGATGTACCGCTTAAGACGGTTCCGTCAGTGAGCCAAAAGGAGCCGAAACCAAATGTCGCACCTTGGAATGGGGACCAGGAGAGTCCTGGTCACAAATATAGTAGGGAAGCCAATCAACCTAGTCATCGCAGACCACGAAGAGCAACTAGGTCGAAGGAGAACAATACCTGTTCGCTCTTCATACAAACAGATCCTCTTATATGGAGGCATATTTCCGAACAGGTAAGTGAAGCCCTTTTCAATTCAAATATAAAACCAGTAGAGAGATGTGTCGACCGAACATCTCCTAAATTTTAATTGGTCGCTCCAAAATTGGAAAGTACGCGACTTGTCGAGTGTCCGTTTTCAGAGCCAATACATAATGTATCTCTAAAATGATATTTCTATTCTCGAGAGGATATATGGGGACATAATATATATTTCAGGCCACATTGAATATACTTCTTTCATGATTTCTATAAGATTTACGTGTCGAAAGAGTTACGTGCCTCTGGTTATGTGCAAAAACAGCCGCACTATTCGAGACTCTTTTCCGCGCTTCTGTCACTTCTATAGCGAATTTATTCCGAACGTCTTTTTGTTATTCTACCAATTCGCCGTGCGATAACGTGCAAAATTGTGAGGCCGTACGAGAGGAAAGCTGACGTTTGCAGTCCGGAAAAGGATAAAAGACAAGATAGTAGATTGTTATAACGATGGAATGACCCAATTCTAAGCGGCAATTTGCAACGGGAGAATGCCAGTATCTCCTTGCACAATAGGGAAATACCTTGAATACCGACCGTTCTCTTCCTATAGTCACATTCATATGCGTTTTCGTCGGCAGCACGGTCAGTGCAATTCCCCTTTGCATTTTCTCAACAAGCCAGACACCACCCGCATTCCAGCATTCTTCGCAAAAAGAATATTCTCCCCTCTCCCTATCCTCGTCCACGTCCTCCAGCGGCCTTTGATATCGCCACGGTGTATACTGCACACAGTGCATTCCACTGGAGGCTATTTTAATGACAGATTTTTAGACGAATTTTTACGTTGGATCTCTCGCGAAAGTTTCCAGGGAATTTTGATTAGATGGGAAATATTTGACGTTGAACTCTAAGAATTCCCACACGTTTCAACTTCAACCAGCGCAACCGAATAACTGGGTCTCGTAATTTTTGTAATTAATTTCGCGGATGCTCCCGCTCGACGGAAATTCAATTCGCAGCTTAATTAGCGGCGATATTTAATATCGAAGATTGAAAACTCGCGCGACGATAATTCCACCGAATACATACATACGTACATACGTATATACATACATACATAATATATATACGTGGATGGAATATAATCGTTATAACGCACGAAGAAAAAAAAGATGTGATATCAATACGTTGTCGCGAATGCTGAGTTCCCGTGCGACTTTGCAGCTGCATCACGACGTGGAGAAAACCCGGGAGGAGATATTTTCCTTGATCGCCCACCACGTCACCGCCGTAAACTACATCTACAGGGACACGCAATTCGACGGCAGGATAGAGCATAGAAACATCAAATTCGAGGTCCAACGAATAAAGGTAACGGTATCGCGTCCGAAAATAGCGACGCTTAAGTAACGGTCGGCCTGAAGAATACTTGCCTCGTGATTCACTCGATCCCCTGTATCTAATATCACACAGATCGATGACGACACGGCCTGCACGCAGCAACAGACGTACAACGATCCGAACCCGTTCTGCATGGAGAACATTGACGTCAGCAACTTTCTGAATCTGCACTCCCTCGGGAACCACGAGGACTTCTGCCTCGCCTATGTCTTCACCTACAGGTGAGCGGCACACACGGAAAAAACAATTCTGTTGGTGCAACAGAATTTTCGGTTGCTCAAGGATCAGACGAAAACTCAGTTGTAGGAACAGAAAAATTCCTTTATGAGGCTTCTGTATAGTCAATTGTTCTTAGTTGCCTCAACCAAGTTCTAATATCGTTGAATGTTTAGACGAATATTTGCGACAACAGAAATATTACTTTTCATAACAGAGATATCGCTTGTGACCACCTAATTTTCAGTTGCGCCAACTGAAATTTTTGGTTGCACCAACTGAAATTTTTTTTTGCGTGCAGAAGTGATCCTTGTACTCCGCGCGCGTCCTTTTATGCCCGTGACAGCTCTTAAACGCTCATCAATCTTTCTTAATAATTGGATTAAAAATTGGAATTCGCTGGTCGCGGCGTTCAAAAACCTATCGCTTGGATCCTTTTTGAGTATATGATATTGAAATATTTGATCTTGATCAGCAAAATTCATTGCATTAATGCTAGCACTCATTGCATGTCCTTTCGCTATTTCATTTGTATCTTATCCTTTATTAAGATCTTCGTATCTTTGTACTTATATCTTTCTTTTCGTATGTGCAATTACTTATCTTTCTGTTATTTCTCTATGTTTACTGCTCGTATTACTATTTTGCACTGTATGTTGCTCTGAAAGGGTTTTTATCCTGAAGCGTAATAAAGCAGTGTCCTATTCTATTCAAAATATTACGTGTTCTCGTCGACAGGGATTTTACCGGCGGCACTCTCGGACTCGCCTGGGTTGCGTCCGCGTCCGGCGCGTCCGGCGGTATCTGCGAGAAATACAAGACCTATACTGAGACCGTGGGCGGCATGTATCAGTCTACCAAGCGCTCTCTGAACACCGGCATCATCACTTTCGTGAATTACAACAGCCGAGTGCCACCCAAAGTGTCGCAGCTGACTTTGGCGCACGAGATCGGGCATAACTTCGGATCACCGGTAAGTCGCGAAAGAACCCTTCTTTCCTCTATCGCATACGTGTGTCGCACGGCTCGTTCGAGAATGACGTAGCAAAGGTGAAGATAACGATCTTACCTTCTTTCCAGCACGATTTTCCACCGGAATGCAGACCGGGCGGCATGGACGGCAATTACATTATGTTCGCCTCAGCAACGAGCGGAAATCGACCGAACAACAGCAAATTTTCAAAGTGCAGCATTGGCAATATCAGTAACGTCCTAGATGCTATCGAGGATAACAAGAAGAGGAACTGTTTCACTGGTATTTTCACGTTTTCAGTTTCCTATCGCGACGATATCCGAGACGGAATAAATGGAAAATGGAAATGAACGAAATGGCGACCTTTGAAGGCTCCTGGTCCCTCGCCGCGGAACTCTCAATTGATGACGTCAGAGGCGAGAAAACACGCGATAAAGGTTCTTGCAAAATATATTGAAATAGAAAGAATATATCCATAAAATGATACTTGAAATCGATCTGGCATATTTGTAGAGTAGTTCGCTTTCTTTTTGCTCTAATAATCAATAAATTATCTTAAAATAGTCATATGACAAGTACATCCCTTTTTAACCTATGTTTCTTCATGATTTTATCGTATTAATTTTACGGTTACTTATCAATTATTAAGACAATAGAAAAGTGTCCGGAATATTTTACACATCCACTCGATCGCAGGTGTTATTTTATGGATACATATTTTTACTTCTACGTATTTGGCAAGAATTTGTAATGCATACTTTCTCGTTTTTGAAGTCATGAATCAAGATAGTGAGAACACAGGAGCCTCAAGAATTTTGCTTCTGCGATATTCACAACGATATCTTGTGACGCAAGTCTGATTAATATGTTGCATTTTTTATCTACAGGCGCGTTTTGCGGGAACAAGGTTGTCGAAGCTGGCGAGGAATGCGATTGCGGATACGATGACGAAGAGTGCACGGACAAGTGCTGTTATCCCAGACAGGTGTCCGAGGTGGATAAAATCAAGAACGAAACGGCGAAAGGCTGCAATAGAAAATACAGGACACAATGCAGGTACGTACTCGCGCGCTGACACGCATTTGCTTTTATTCCGGCCGAATATGACGTCGGCCGATGGCTCTCGTCAAATCAGCGCATCCCTCATGCGTGGATAATTATGCGTTTTCAGTCCCAGTGAAGGGCCTTGCTGTTCGAGCGATACGTGCCAGTTTGTGCCCCTCTCCCACAAGGTTCAATGTAAGGCTGAGTCGGATTGCAGTTACAATTCCACCTGCAACGGCAGATCCTCCGAATGTCCAGCGCCGCTGCCGAGAGCCAATAAGACCAGATGTAACGAGGGCACTCAGGTAATCGCACTCTGTTATCTACGATACCGCCGTGATTTAATGGCGTCGAGACGCTCGTTTCAACAGCGCGTTATTTACAGCTGTGCATCAACGGGGAGTGCACCGGATCCATTTGCCTGGAGTGGAATCTGACAGAGTGCTTTTTAACGAGCAGCATCATACCGAACATCGACAAGCGAAAGCTCTGCGAATTAGCCTGTCAAAATGGCACCGATGCGTCGACATGTCGCGGTACGAGCGAGTTTGCGCACATGGTGGGACTGCCCGAGGGCGGAATGAGTTTGAGACCTGGTTCACCTTGTGATAATTTCCAGGTACAAATGATTCCACGCTTGTTCAACGTACGAGGAGAAGCGAAATGCTTCCTGAAAACTGTATAGTCGCGGAACTGTAATTTATATTTGTTTCTCAGGGTTACTGCGACGTTTTCTTGAAGTGCAGAGCCGTTGATACAGAAGGGCCGCTCGCAAGATTGAAGAATCTACTGTTCAATAAGGAGACCTTATCAACGGTAGCGCAATGGGTGACTGTAAGTGCAAACATTTCATTTACTACTATCAATCTAGAGTGACATTATGTACAATCGTCGTTTATTTTCTCCTGCAGGAATTTTGGTGGGCCGTACTGCTGATGGGCATAGCTTTCATCATATTTATGGGGTTATTTATCAAGTGTTGTGCCGTGCATATTCCTTCCACTAATCCTAAAAAGCCGCCAGCGAGGCGCATCAGTGATACATTAACAAGACCGATGAATACTCTTAGAAGGATGGTGAGCAAAATGCGTAGATCATGTTTAGCAACAACAGACGCTTTTTGTCGAAATTTAAAACAAAAGATGTTTGGATGTAATGATATTAGTTGCTTTTCATTTTCACACAAGTGATACTGAGTCTAAAGTTTTGTAAGTATTTTATACTCATAAAATGACATCATTGCGTTCAGTGGATTAAAGGAACGCGCAAGTGAGAGTATTTTCAATAACCTTAAATTGTTGCATTGTAAATTGTCATAATTCTTGTCATAGTGATCCATCTATCTGTTAACTATATCCATCATCCATAACTAAAATAATATTATTTACAAAATTATTTATTTTCAATAATTGTTTACAATTATTTCATATCATTTTGTGCATACTTGCTTATTTTGGTCGTAAAGTTATCGCACAACAACACATATTTATAACCTCACTTTTAATGTAAGTTAACAAAACTTACTAAAATACACGAATTTGCGCAGATTGTAGGTAAAAACTCAGTTGAGTCACCTATGAGAACGAAAAGGAATGTGCACTCAACTGAGTTATGATGTCACAAATAAGATTTATCTGAGTTTTCATGTAAATGGAAAGCATTATTAATATTTAGCACGTGTTTTATCATTTGTCATGTCTGTTGCAGCGACATCCTCACGGCGGAGGAGGAGCTGGACCGAGAAGTATACCTCCGAGACCAAGTCAAGGTGGACACGGTACACGTGGACCTTCTCATGGTTACGGGGAAGGTAGAGGTGCTCAGTATTATCCAAAAGGTGAGTTAGCATATCGAATCACTTATACATTTCCTGTTGCTTGAGTTTAATTCCCGCACTCAAGCGGCGATCGAGAATACACGTGCTGATACGTTGACGAAAAGAAACAAATTAATCTGACACACTAACATGAATTAAGCTCAAGTCAACGTTGTCGCGTTCTTCGTCCTTGTGTAACCCGCAACTACATCAATGTCTTTTCCTGTTTGCATCTCCCTCGCATTGACGCGCATCACTACTATCGTTCTATGACCTGCAGAGGTGAGCTGGGGCCTATACGCTATTCTATACGCTTGATAGGAGCAAATTCATGAAGGCGAAGATGACTGTCGCATTACAACGAACAAAGTCTCAAGTTGACGATTTGTCACGAAATCGATGAAGCGCCTGAATTTCTTGCATTTGCTCCTAACTCATTATTCATGGCATTGCACTGGATGCTCTAGCTGAAATATTTTTTTTCTTCCCCGTTAATACAGGAGTTCCTACGAACAAACTCCTCTCGCCCTTCTCTGATTTCGCACCATCGATTGCATTATCGCATTAACTCCAAATTATGATTTGCCGGAATTGCGTTGTAGTTAGACGGCGAAATGACAGGAACAGCACAGTGACGAAGGACACGCGAGGAGCGTGGAGATCGCGCTGACTGCTTCTGCCGTACTTGATTTACCTAATACATATCGCCAGCAACTCTCTGTCCTCGCATATGTCCGCATATGTCTCGCATATGATGTTTCTTTTGGTTATGTGTTTCATTTCATAGTCGAACATTTTTCTAAACTTTAAGCAGGCTATCACTCGGTTCCCACAGCTAGTGCGCCACCAAATAGCAGGTCAGCAGACAACTACGGCCGTTCCAACCACCCAGAACTGTACGCCGGCGCCTATTCGGGCTCCGGGGGAGGGGGGAGGGGCGCAGCCTATGAGATGAGGCATCACAACAAGGTGTGACGATCCTAGGACGTCGTCACGGACGAGGACCACCAGTCGCGGCGTTGCACCACGAGTCGTTGTGTAAAACGATTGCCAAATGCGAAGGGAACCGATCCACTCCACGTGAGGAACGCGACGATGTCTTGTAATCGAGATCGAAGCAATAACGACGAGATGATACGGCGCGATGATACGGCACGACGTTCAAGCAGATTGAGAGATCCGGCGATACGCGCTTTCACCTGAGTTGCGTTCGATTGACATCATGACGCGAAGAGAGCTACTTGTAGATATGAGGAAAGTACGTATCAGTGATCCCAAACCGATCTCTCATTTTGCGTCGGTTCTATAGATGTGATTTCAATTAGACCAGAGGCGCTACGAACGGCGACTCGAAAGATTGCAAGTTGGCCGGAATCACGATGTAATAGAATATAACGATATATCGGAAATCGTGAGTTCCCAAGATTTTATATATATATATATATATATATATATATATATATATATATATATATATATATATATGTAACCTTTTTTTATGTAGTACCAATATATGGTTTCTCGTGTCGTCGTTCAAAAAATTCGTCGCATGATCAAACTTTAGAATGCTTCGGGCAACCTTCGTTCTTCGCCAGCGAGGGTGATATTGTTATATGATCAAAGTAATTTAAATCGATCCAATGTGTGATTCATTTCGCTTTAGCGATCGACGCTGCTGTTCGCACAGCGACAAACGCGACGGTGTTTTGTTAAACCGCGTCGCATCTTCGCCCTTCGACAACTACGAGCATTCAAAGCCAAGACCGTAACGGTCTTTGTGTGACGGCGTCCTTCGTGATGTCTATATATCTGTGCATGTCGCTCCCGAAAGTTAAGGCTCAAGGGGTGTGTCGCTTTCTTCGTTGGGTATTGAGTACGAGTTTAGTAGGAGATCAGCAATATAAGACAATACGTCCTTTCGTGATGCATTATATAGACATACGTTGCGTAAATGAGTTTTCCAAAGACGTGATTTTAATAGTAGTCTGTTTCTTAACAAACTTAACTCGCGTACTCGCGCGATACGAATCGTTTTTCTACTCAAGTGAAATTTTATCGTCAAGTGGCACGCGCGTCAGTTTAATTTAAGAAACTTGATGTGCACCAAACGACTTATTCGCACGGAAGGAGGAAAAAAATCTCATCGTACATACAACATTGTTCACGATAAACTGCAGTTTCAATGACTGATTTATTAACGACTTTCTGGAGCGAAATGGCACCCTACCATTACCAAACACATCACAGGTCATTCGCTTGATCTCTGTACCATTGTAGTATAATAATTAACGATCTGTATTATTCTTATACTAATTTGTATTAGCCAATTGAAGTGAATGAAGCTATATACGAGACTACGAAGGATATAAGAGCAGCAACAACAAAATGTAATGCGTTTCTGTAGCGATATTCCATTAACTATTACATATGAACGAAGATGATATTGATCATTATTAAGATTATACTTATTAATACTATTATTATTATTACATTAATATTATTAATTAGTTATATCATGCAGATGATAATTTATCTTTGCGAATGTTATATTTAATTAAATACGAGTTTTAACATGCTATTAAGTCGAGGGCTGCACCGTAAACACGCGACTAATGCGTATAGCGGACCAAAGACGAGCCCTCTTATCGAAAGAAAAAAAGAGAGACGCGATATGTTATATATATATATATATATATATATATATATATATATATATATATATATATATATATATATATATA